TAAATAAATAAATAAATAAATAAATAAATAAATAAATAAATAAATAACTCTAGCTCATTTATATCAGCTTTCAGCTGAGAACAAATCCTATTTTCTGAACTGTGAGCAACTCCATCTAACCTAGAGCCATCCTGCAACTTTAATGAGCAAGCAAATATAGTTACCCATGTTGTCAAATTATTGATACTAAATTGAGTGCAATCCCTATTCAAGCTGTCTTTCCAAGTGGCTTCTAAGAGGCTATGTCTCCTGTTGCATCTAATTCCAACACTCACCAAAATTTCTCAAGTGCTAACACACAACATACTTCTGCATCCTAAGTCTTTCCTGCTAACCTAATGACACACAATACTGCACGATGCCCGAGAAGGGGTCAGAAGCATATTCTTACCAAATGCGACCAGCTCTTGTTTTCAGCAGGGTCTGTCAAGTATTCCAAACACAAAAGTCCACCTAAATCTAGGAAGAGTGATTCAGAATATAGAAGCTGGAGTCACACAGACTTGCATTCAACTTCTAGTTGACCCACTTAGAAGTCTTGCAAATTTATTTAACTTCTCTAAGCCCAAATTCCCATCTGTAAAGTGGAACTAACAATGTCAGCCTCATAGAACTGTTGTAAGGATTAAATGAAATAATACATTTAAAATGTTTAAACCAGTGCCTAGCATTTGATAATATACTATAAATAACAGTCACTCATAACATTAAGACTTGAATCAAACTTTAAAAGTTGGGGAGCATCTCAAAAATGATGTTTCAATTGTATCACTTCATAGATGATGAAACTAAGCCCTAGAAAGTATAACTGGCTTGCCTGACATCACTCCGCTATCTAATGGTAAAGTTGCAATTAAAACTTAGGTTTCCCAGGTCCCAATTCAACATTCTCTCTACTAACCAAAATATTTCTTGGCCATCTGTCTGATACCCATCAAGACAATTTCTCTAATCTCATTTTCTTCAATGATAAATTATAGGGACAGATCATGGATCATGATCATGGATCCTTCTAGCTCTAAAATTCTCATTCTATGATTCATTTGGGTCCTAAACTGGCTACCTTAAAAGCATGTCCACAGAAATAGTCAACTATATTTTCAATCTCTATATATACTTTGCTTTCTTATGAACATGTTCAAAACTCTAAAACTTTTATGTTATTAATGGTTACACGAAAGTAATTTGCCTCTCAAAAGAAACCAAGTCCAAAAAAAAAAAAAAGGAAAGAAAAAGGCAGCCAAGTCAATAAGAAATTAAGATTATTAAAACTAATAATAGATAAGTTATTAGTAACTAAATTGGGTTTGTAGACATCACACAATTAAGTCAAAATTAAATAAAAGAGTAAAAGTTTTTTTTACTCTTTTTAAAAATATTTTAAAAATATCTAACATAGGGACGCCTGGGTAGCTCAGTTGGTTAAGTGTCTGCCTTTGGCTCAGGTCATGATCCCAGGGTCCTGGGATCAAGTCCCGCATCGGGTTCCTTGCTCAGCAGGGAGCCTGCTTCTCCTTCTGCCTGCACCTCCCCCTGCTTGTATGTGCACGCTCTCTCTCACTCTCCCCCTCTCTCTGACAAATAAATAAATAAATCTTTTTAAAAAACTAACATAATTAAATATCTAACATATAATTAAAATTGAGCTACATATTTGAAGCAAATTTAGAGTATTACTTTTTGAAGATTTTATTTATTTATTTGAGAGAGAAAGCACGAGAGCAGGGGGGAGGGGTAGAGGGAGAAGCAGACTCCCCACTGAGCAGGGAGCCTGATATGGGCCTACATCCCAGGACCCTGGGATCATGACCTGAGCAGAAGGCAGACACTTAACCAACTGAGCCACCCAGGCACCCCGAGTATCATGTGTTTTGATTCAACAAATATGGACAGCCAGACACAAAAATATACCAAAATAAGAGTTCATACTCTACTTTTGGGAAGAAGCCACTTTTCATTTTTTAAGTCTTAAAATCTCTCAAGAGAACTGTGAATGGTGTTGATAATAAAACTTCCTGAACAGAGCATCAATGGGCCATGCTCATAATCCCAGCAAATGGTCTTACACGGTACTTAAGAATCTAACAGAAATTCTAATCTATTGGCTATGGATTCCTGTTATAAGAGATATATAGAGTATCAGTTTCAAAGAAGTGGAACACAAAGTTCATAAAATTAAAATCCATCCTGAGTATAATCATCTTTTATGAATCCGTAAGACTATCCAAATAGCAGATGACTTGTAATTTGAGTTCCCAAGGAAACAGACTCTGAAACTCTGAAATCTACAAGCAGGTGTACTGGGGAGTGCTCTCAAGAACACCTGTGTGGGCACAGGGGAAGCATGACTGGGCAGAGAGAGAAGATAAACAGTACTGATCAGTAGCACAGTTGCAACAGCAACCTCAGCTAATCCTACCAAGAGTCCTGAAGCTAGATGGCCCTTCACAGAAGTCCCGAATCAAGGCAAGAGGATGATTCTTTGTATTCCCCACATCAGCCAGTAATGAGGCTGCTTCCGGAAAGGGATATAATCTTGGGTGAGGAAGCTTCTTTCTATTAGGGCAACTCCCAGAGAAGGACACAGCTATCACAGTGCCATCAGCACCATGACTCTATAGACAGCTAGGACAATGTGTCTCTGTCCTGAAGGAAGATCTAAGTGCCACATCAAAGCATCCACTGCAACAAATGTACCTTACTTGCATTTGAGATACTCATAAAGGGCTATACACGGGGGGCGGGGGGATATCTCAGTAGAGACGGAGGAGAACTATCTTCTGGAACCTACTACATGGATGGCAGGTGCTGTGACGGTCATCTTACATGAGTTCTCAAATTTTATCACTGAATTCTTGCTTCCTAAAGACAGTTTTTTCTCAGCAAAGATGCTAGAAAACAGGGTAAAAGTTATTTGGACTTGTTATATTAACACATTTAAAATGTTACTTTAGGGTGGCAAATGATCTGCAGACTCAAAATCTTGGTACTTTCTTGGTTTTCAAATAACAGCTTTACCCTAACAGCATCTTAGAAATCACCTAGGTGGTGTGCTCAGTAGACAGAGAAGGAAAGTGAAGCCAAGAAAAAATCAATGATTTGCCTAAGAACATGAACTCAAGTCTCTTGTTTCCAAATTCAGTGATTTCTCTACTTGCTCTGGTGACTTTATACTCAAAAACTTAATGAAGTCAAAATAACCCTGAGGCATGAATCTTATTTTAAAGCTCAATACCAACTTCTTCTGGATCATTTGCATTTTCAAAATCATGAACATAAGAAACTTGAGTTTTATACTAAAGAAATGTCAATTGGTAGTCTGGCTAAATGAAATATTCTATCTTTCTAGCTATTAACAATAATAGCTAACATATAACCTCTATGACAGGCATGAAGCCAAGCACTTTGTCTATATTATGTCATTTAATGCGTATAACAATCCTTTGAATAAAGTCAAAGGGATTGCTCCCGTGTAGCCAAGGGGGGAGAAATACGGTTAAAGAAGCTAAATAAATTGTTAGCTAAGATTACAAATGTAACGCACAAAGCTGAGATTCAATCTGACTTCAAAGCTTGTGTTCTTAATGTTAAACCATACAGCCTATGCTTCTTCTCAATTTTCCTTTTCTGAACTACTCAAATTTCTGTGATGTAGATGGTTTATTTTCATAAACCAGAAATATATTATTTTTATTATTTTCAAATATTTTTATTTTAAAACTGTATTATTCCTTAAAATATTTAAAAGCTGCAAAGAGATATGAGGTTTTATCAAAAAATAAATCCATACGTCCTTTCAGATATCTAACTCAATATGATTTACCACTTAATCTACTCCACCTGACAATGTATTTTGGCATAGCACTGTATAAAGACAAAAATTCTTAAAACATTTTCCAAATATTAAAGTCCAAATAAAGTATCACTGAGACTCTAAAAACTTTTATATTAGCATACTTATGTAAAACTTAGCCAGAGTCTGATATTAAAGACCGAAATGAGACTAAAGGGTGGTTTTAAATTTCAACTACTGCTATAATCTATGCAACACTTAAACAGATGTCAATGCAACTAAATAATTCATGTTCTTGTATTCAGTCTGTCAATCAATCATAATGCAGGTAATAGCCATGCTTCTATCCTAAAGTAAGCAAGCTATCCTACCATAGTCCATGTTGAGAACATAGTCCAAGACAGCCACGTTATATGACCCTGTGTCTACTGGTCAATTGACCAAAGATGTGATCACCTGGATCAAACAGCAGATATTCACAAGCTAGCTAGCAGCCAATAACATGGCCCAGTGGCAAAAAAGAAAAAAAAAAAATGCCCAAAGCCAAGAACGAACTACTACTACGCTCCATGCTTAGGCCTTTAAATCACAAACTATAAAGAGAAATGATTAATTAGCCACACAAACTGGCACTAAACAGATAAACAGTATAGTCATGTGGTAAAGTAAGAGTACATGAAACACCTCAGCAAATCAAAGCTATAACCCAACCAAAGTTTCAAAAGACCATAGACTATGAGTATGCAGAAGCCATGAAGAAAAAAACTAGAATAGAGGGTAAGAAAATTAGCTGAGAGTGGAAACAAAAATATACAGGTAACAGGGGACACAGATAGATTAAGAGTCACTGAGTTCTTTAACAGCTCGACTCTACAGTGAAAATCTATAAAGCCCTGACATGAAAGTCCCTAATAACACTACCTTGGAGCCTTCAAAGCCTTCCAGTAAAATGTCTGAGAGGCTCAGCCCCATATTAAATGTCTGATTTTGAATTTCCATAAAATTCCATCTTTCTTATCGCCGAGTACATCTTTATAACCACTACTATGCTATTTTTTTTTTTTTTAAAGATTTTATTTATTTATTTGACAGAGAGAGAGACAGCGAGAGCAGGAACACAAGCAGGGGGAGTGGGAGAGGGAGAAGCAGGCTTCCCATGGAGCAGGGAGCCCGATGTGGGGCTCGATCCCGGGACCCTGGGATCATGACCTGAGCCGAAGGCAGATGCTTAACGACTGAGCCACCCAGGCGCCCACTACTATGCTATTTTTGAGCTAACCTGATGGATCCTTTATTCCTAGAACCAAATGAATTTAATCATAACTATTATCACTATTTCAGAGCCATGGTAAAGCTCATTTCTAGAAGAATGATGTGTAAATTGTGTGTTTCATGGTACCACAACTCCTAGAAGGAATAGTCCTAAGTATTTTATGACCACACTCCACTTCCAACCTCAGTTGACTAAACCATCAATGAACACCTTTGGCCAGCCAGAGACCTATGCATGACCCAATGAAAAAAGATGCAGAGGACATTTTAAGTCTTCTCTTGTATTTGGGGAATTGAGACACTGGGCCAGTTGATTACACAAAGCTAAGGTGAAAAGTACATAGAATTGAGTGGTCAGAAGACCATTTGGGGTCTTGAACACACTGAGTAAACAGCAACAAGGAGGATGGTCACAGAGACAGAGAGACAAGATGCCAGTGGTCCATGAAAGACAAAGACAAGAAGAACTGCCCCTATCCCTGACACCATTATCATGAGGCCTAACTGTATAGCCAATTCTTCTTCATGGATCACTTTGAAACTTTCCAATAAATCCCCCTTTCAACTTAAACTGATTTGAGGAAGTTTCTAATCCTTGAAAATAAAAAATCATTTATTAGAACATTGTCCAAGGATGACAAATTCACTCATGCATTTAATACTTAACTAGTTTCTGCTTCCTCTAATCCATATTCCTCAGCAAGTAGTCTATGCTCTCTGATTCCACTTCCTTACTTCCTAATTTGTCCTTATGACTCTCCTAAAACTGAACTAGGTATGACTCATCTGTTCCATTCAGTGGACACTTCTCAGTACTTACTTGACTTGACTTCTCTTCAAGATATGTGTTTGTACATATCTAATACTTGCCTCCACCTGTCTCCTGAGTGCTGGACCTGTATTTCTACCTGCCTTGTGAACATCTCCACTGGGATGGCCACACCTCTAGTTCACATTCATCTTCCTCCCCAAATCTGCTCTTCTTCCTCCTCTATTCTTTACCTTAGTCCATTCCACTATCCTCTCAGCTACCCAAACCACTCACAAGTCAATAAGCCCTATCAATTGTACACCTTAATTTTCTTGAAAGTCATTCTTTATCCCCAAAGCCATTGTCTAAATTCAAGCTTTCATCATTTCCTGAACTGAAAACTAGAGATCCAGGAATTCTGATACAATGGAGGGACTTGGGAATCTTTTTTTTTTTTTTTTAAGAATTCCAAATGATTCGAATATACAACAATTTTAGAACTAAAAAGTTATTATTTTCTAGCCAGTCTCTCCCCTAATGGAGCCATCCTCTCTACACGGCCACCAACATACATTATTGAAAAACCACCAAGCATCAAACACGAAGTTAGATCCTACACACTAAAAAAAGAAAACAAAATCCCTACCCTAAGGGATCTCAAGTCTAGTAGGGAAATAGTCAGGTATACAAATTACAAAAATTTTCTAGAGATCTCAATTGTAATAGCTACTATATAACAGATGTTTACTGAAAGCTGGATACTGTGGTGAGTACTTCATGAACATTATTTCATTTAATCCTTCCACAACACTTTGAGGTATATAATATCATCAATTTACAGATAAAGCAACTGGGTCTCAGAGAGCTTGAAATTTTGTATAAGATCTCACCCTCATGAGTGGAAGAGCCCAGGGCTTAAATGATGGTCTAATACCAAAAGCCTGTTCTCCTAATTAGTATGGGATGTTTGGGGAGAAGAAGGAAAAAAAAAAAGGTAAGCAAATAACTCCCAGTGTCACTTGAACTAAGCAATGTCTACAAGTGATGGTAGGACAGTCTAGCAGAATAAAGCGCTTCTACAGAGGTATGAAGGGATGAGAGAACAGGGTAAGTTGTGAAAAACACAATTAGTGAGAATGGCAAGGTCAAGGCCATGTGCAAAGGTAAGTGGAGATGAGCCTGAAATCATATAAAAGAACCAGAGCATTATGGGCCTTGTGTGCCAAGGTAAAGAGTTTGGACATCTCCTATGGGCGCTGATTAATTACCAACATATTTTAGACAGATGAGTGATTTGCCAATTAACTTTCTATAAAGATTACCGAGGAAAAATATTTTTGGAGGGTTTTCCTTATTACAAATTCGATCATTTAAAAACCTTCCATGGCTCCTTATTGTCTATAGTATAAAGTCCAAAACCCTTTCCAGTCTCATATCTTACAAAGACACCCATCCACATGCAGAAAAGCTCACAACTCCCATAATGCTGTGCTAGGCTGTTTATGCTCTTGCATTTGCTTGGTCCCTGTCTTGAAAGATGGCTTCTCTCCCTTGCTCCTCTTTGCCTATCACTTCTAGCCTCTGCAAGGCCTTCAACAATCCCTTTCCTTATCTCGCCTCAACCCTTCCCTCACAGGACTAGTTACTTTTTCTTTTGTTCTCATAAACTCTTCCTCTATGTATCTATTAACCCCACATTACTTTGTCATTATTTACATATCTGTTTCCCCCACTAAAACTCCTTAAGAGTTTTTAATCCCCAAGCCCAGCAAAGTAATTAGCACAGAATATATGCCCAATAGTATGATGAAATGTCTACACACCCACACCCACACGATTTAAAAAAGGGGGGGGGGGGGGGGGCAGATAAGAAAAGTTTTCCTTGAAGAAATTTGGAGTATATAATAATAACAACAACAACAACAAAATACCAACATTAGCATCAGCTAACATTTACAGAGAGGTATGTGCCAGATACTATCTAAGTCCTTTATGTATATTAATTCAGTTAGTCCTTACAATAGTCCTATGACAGATACTATTATGGCCATTTTAGTGAGACACAG